TCCTTCGATTAACTCATATTGGCCACCTCGTTGGTCATGGAGACGCTTAGGGGCCAGATCATTGAACCGAAGAAGCTTCGGGTCTGCAACCTTCCCCACTTCCCTGGCAGGGGGGGGAAGAGGAGGAAAGGACAACTAAGCAGGCGTAGGGCGCTGAAGGAGGCGAGGACAGGGCGGGCAGCGGGTGTACACTTTGCTTCTCCAGCGCCTGCACCGCCGCAATGACGGCGTCGTCACCGGTAGTCGCGGCCCGCCCCAGGGCGTTCAGCATCGCCTCCTTCCTGGCACCGACTGCGCCCTCGAGATCGGCGGCGAGCCTCGCTGCGACGCGCCTGCTGGCCTTCGCCGCCACGAGCGGCAGCGCGTCCACTGCCGCCTGCCGGATCTCGCTGTCGCCGTGGGTGGTGCGGGCGAGCACCGCATCGACGGCCAGGTCCTGGGCTTGGACGCCCGAAATGGGTACGGAAAGAATGGGCACAGTGCCCATCAACAAAAATTGTCCCAAATCGACAGCGGCCGTTGTGGGGCAGGCGGCCTCCTGTCTCGAGTGAACAGAGGCCGCGGCGGCGTGGACAGCGAGTCCTGCTCAAAAGGAACTAGATCCGCTGTTGGGCACTGTGCCCACTCTTTCCGTGCCCATTTTTCAGGAGCGGCAACGAGGGGGGTGTCCAAGAGTGGGGGGGGCAAATCATGACCGGCGGCATGTGCGCGGCCCAGCGGGGGGGCCAGGGACGTAACGAAACAAGAAGAGGCGCCATGAGGTCTGGGGAGATATACCATGGCCCCCGCCATGGTATCCACCCCCCCCTAGTCATCACCCCCCTCTTTGCCGCCCCCGAATGTCGTTCGTGCAGACTGGGGCGGGGCGCGGCGCGGGCCCGGGCTCGCGCTCCGTGCGCGAGGGCCGCAGGCCTTCGCGCCTGGTCCGTGCGGGGCGCCCTTCGCGCGGCCCCGAGGGCCGAGGGGGGGGGAAGCGGAGAGGCGGAGCCCTCGCGCGGGCGACGAGACGAAGGATAGGGCGGGCCACGTGCGAACCCTGCCCCTGCCCCCCACGACTTCTGAGGGGGGAGGGTGGGGCTCACTCCGCTCGGGAGCTCCCGGACGAAGTGAACCCCGCCCTCCCCCTCTGAAATCGTGGGGGGTAGGGGTAGGGTTCGCACGTGGCCCCCTAGAAGGAGGCCTCACGCGCGATGATGAAGTGAGCAGGGGCCGACCGCCCTGGCATTCCTCTAAACCTACCACGACATGTTCGTAGAACCCACAAACGTATTCTAATGACAGAAACAATGTTCTTGGAGCGTGGAGCCGACGTGTCGAAACAAGACAGTCCCAGCCAGAACTGTTCTGGTAAGAACAGTTCGTGGAAACCACAAAAGGTTCTTAGAACATTGTTTGGTAGGCCTCTAGGCGAGCTGGGACGCTTCGCCACTGCTTGGATGACGTGGCTCAGGGACACACGAACAATTAGACACAAATCCCAGGATCCCCCCATATACTTTTCATACTTTCCCCTCGGCTTCCCCCTCCACTTCCCACATTTTTCCATAGTTTCGGGGGAAGCGACGGTTGCCTGTGTCTGTGTGTATTTTTCCCTCCTGAGAAACGAAAGGGGTCTTACGCATGATGACATAGCGACCTGACGCCGCGGCTTACGCGGGCCGCCCGCGCGGCACGCTACACTGGAGGCAAGGGCGCTCACGTTCCTGGGCATGCTGGGTCTATCGGGCCCCCATCGGCGATCAACGGGCGATTGGGGGTCGACGCTTCCCCCCTATGCCTAATGGAGGATGACGATTAATCAATGACCCGGGGTCGTGTTCACGCGGCGGCGCCCGGGATGACGATTAGAAAAAACTGGCCGCGGGCTGGAAAACTATGTTTTAAATCGTTCTCCTCCAGTCAGAGAGCTGTGCAGAAATAACAGAAAACTATGTTTTTTAATCGTTCTCTCCCATTTGTATATCAATCGTCATCCCGCATTATCCCCCCCTGTCGTTGCCCCTGACGCGCGAGGGCTCTCTCCGACGACCCCCGCCGGACGCCGCCGACGGCACGCCGAAGCACCGAGGTATAAGCCAGGCCGAGGTCCCCGGGGGCCACGAGCGGTGCGCACCCCTCCTGCTGTCTATCGGCCTGGCCGGCGCACGCGCTGGACCTGGGGCCCCGGACGACCGAAGGAGAACAAAAGGGGAGCGGGACATGTTTTTTCTTTTTAATCAAAAAAAACACACAAAAAACCGTAGGGAAAACAAACCGACCTCGCTTTTGACCACCCTCGCTTCCAAGGGGATATCAGACGATGCCAGATTGCAGCCTGTATACTGGTCAGGCCGCTCGACGAGGAGGCGCGTGGTGTGGCTGGGTTTTGCCTGGAAGCGAAAGCGGGGTAGGTAATTCATCGCAGCGGGACATGTTTTCCTCCCCCAATGAGGAGCGGGACATATTTTTTTATCAAAAAAACAAACAAAAAATCACAGGGCTCTTGCCTGCACATTGGTTCAGCACACCGCCGTCGCCCAAGCAGGCCTTCCGCAGCGCGACGGCGAGCGCCCAGGACCGACCCATGGGGCGCGCAGCTCGCTTCACACAGCACGCCGCCACAGCGGGCCAGGGGTCCAACGGCGCGCTCGCGGTGGTTGCGGAACCATTGAATAAAGAATCCCATGGTCTGGAAGCCGGTGGGCCTCTGAGGCCCCCAAGAGCCCCCCAAGAGGCCCCAGGGGGGCCCAATACGCCGCCAAGGAGCCCCAAGACGCTCACAAGAAGCCCCCAAGAAGCCCCCAAGACGGCCCCAAGAGGCCCCAAATAGCGCTCCAGGGCCGGCGGAATGAGCGAAGCGATTGAATAAACAATCCCATGGTCTGGAAGCCGGTGGGCCTCTGATTGAGGCTTGGCAATGGGTCTCACCACCGCCCTTGTCAGAGAAGGAATCGTCCAGGGTCTGGAGCCTCCTTGGCACCTTCCTTAGCAAACGCCCCCACCGTAGGGGGGGCCAGGTCAGGCGGGGACATTGAGCTAGAATCGACGATACATCGCCGATGGATCGGCGATAGGCGCCCGATAGCGAAACGGCACTGTCCTGGGCGAGCCAGGCTGTTAGCATCGGCGATGGATGGGCGATCCTGAGCCTATCCTCCTCCATTCTCGGTCGGGAACGTTTGCTTAGCGTGTCGCGGCGGCGGCCTTGGCGACACGCTGTGCCCTGCAAGTGGACAGCATGTCGCTCCGCTCCGCGGGGCGGTCGGCTCAAAAAAACCTCGGGACATGGACCCCTGAGGAAAGCGCGGTGCGGACACGCAGCGTGTCGCACCGAGGCGCGGTGAACCGGAACCGGCGGAGCGGCACGATACCCCAAAATCCCCCACCGTCACGTTGCCCCTGAGAGATGGACCCAGCCCCAGACCCCCGGCGTCACGATTCGTTCATGACGCGACCCCCAGAAGTCCGGATCCACTCCCCGGGACAGGTGTGTCCTCCCGAGTCGTTTCTGTTGGCGGCCCCGAGGCCCGGTATAAGGGCCCCCCCCCAGAGGCCGAAGAGAACGAGAAACCTCCCGCCTGATTCTGCCCTGACTCGCGAGGGAGTCTGCAGGGCCAGGACCAGTGCTGGTGTGCAGCTGGCGCTGCCCGGCCCTGGCGCGAGAGGGTCCCGTCGCGCCTCGTTCTCGGGCGCCAGCGCGGCCAGCGCGCCCACGGCCGCGTCCCGCACGGGCCCGCGCCCGTGCTCGAGCAGGCGGCCCACGGCGGCGACCACGCGCTCGCCGTCGCGCGTGGCGGCGTGCCGCAGGGCCGCCTGGGCCGCCTGCCGCACCTGCGGGCTGCCGTCCTCCAGGCGGGCGGCGGCCGCGGCCACGACGAGGCCGCCCGCGGCCCCGTCGCTGCCCAACTGCGACATGGCGCGCAGCGCCTCGGCCCGCACCCGCGGCTCCGCGTCGCCCTCGCAGCACGCCGCGAGCGCCGCGAGCGCGCGCCGGTCCCCTGGCCGGGCGGCCTGCGCCAGGGCCGCGGCGGCGCCCTCGCGGACCTCGGGCGAGCCGTGCCTGAGGCACCCAGCCACCTCCGCGACCGCGCGGCCGTCACCGCGGGCCGCGACTCGCGCGAGCGCCCCCGCGCCAGCGGCGCGGACGGCCGCCTCTGGGTGGGCGAGGCGCGCCGCGACCTCTGCGATCGCGAAGGGGTCGCCCCTCGCGGCCACGCTCTCCAGGGCATCCTGCGCGGCGGCGCGGACGTCCGCCTCACCGTCCTCGAGGCCGGCGCAGACCGCCCTGACGACGTCCACGTCGCCCCTGCACGCCAGCTCCGCGAGCGCCTGCAGCGCGGCCTGCCGGACCGGCCACTCGTCGTCGTCGAGGCGGGCGTGGACGGAGGAGGCCGCGGCTGGACAGCCTGGACGGGCCACGCGCGCCAGCGTCTGCAGGGCCAGCCGGCGGACCCGCCAGTCCCCGTGCCGCGTGTGTGCCGACACTGCGGCGGCGACCTGCGGATCTCCCCGCTCGACCAGGCGGCTCAGCGCACCTGCCGCGGCCTGCCCGACCTGCGCGTCCGCGTCGCCTATGCAGGCCGCCAGGGCCCTCCGCGCGGCGGCGCCGCCGCTGCCGAGGCCGTCCGCCGACTGCACCAGCGTGTCAATGGCGGCGGAGCGGACGGCGCCGACGGGGTCCCCCAGCCGAGAGAGGGCCAGGGCGGCTACCCGCTGGCCGCTCTCTCCGGCGTGGCCGGCGAGAGCCCGAAGCGCCTTGATCCGGACGCCCTCGTAAGGGTTGCTCAGGCACTGCTCCAGCGCACCGACCTGGCTTCCGTCCGTGGCCGTGGGCGCCGCGGACGGCCCGCGGACAACGAATCGCCTGAGGTCTGCAAGGAAGGCCCTGCTGCTCTCGTCCGCCAGGGCGTAGGTCAACAAGTTCGTCATGAGCGTGCCATGTACCCACGCGGCCAGATCCGACACCCTCCTCCGACCCGCGCGGCCGACCTCGACCCTCTGCTGAATTGTGATCGGCCTGCCTCTGGTCTCCCTCCGCTCACCCCCAGATGCGCGGAAGAGGGCGGCGTAAGCGTGGAACGTGCTGCCGACGCCCGCCATGCACTCGAGCCGGCCGCCGACCAGCTCCATGCACAGCGAGCTGCCGTCGTCCAGCTCCAGCAGGGCGAACGCGTCTGCGCCGCGGCCGTACTCCGCGTGCGCGGCGATGCCGCTGGCGGCCCTCGGAGACAGCAGCGCCCCCACGCCCTCCGCCCTCTGCACGTCCACCAGGTAGCCGCCCCCCTGCGGGGTGATCGTGACCAGGGCCGCCAGCGGCTCGGGCGTCTCATCCCCTGGCTGGCCCCGGGCCGCCTCCGCAGGCTCGGTGCGGCCGCCGCCGCCGCCAGCCCGGCCTGCCGCCAGCAGGGCCCGCGTCTCGCAGAGGGCCGCCGCGGTGCACGAGGCACAGACCACGCGGCGGCAGAGGCGGCACTCGTGGCCCGGACCGCCCGGCGTGGAGACGGGCGCGCGGCACTGGTCGCACGCGGCCTGCAGCAGCGAGCCGCACGGCCTGTAGTCGTGAGGGTGCTGGACCTGGACCTCTGGCGGGGCAGAAGAGGCCGATGATCCGATTGCCCCGTCGGCCCTCTCCCCGGGCGCGCCCCGGCCAGGAATTCGGAAGGCACGATCCAGCCTTGGCTTGTGGATGCCGTGGCCATGGACACTCTAACAACCCTGCCACTAGACTCAAGATGCGCATGCACGGGTATCACGTGTATAAAGCATGCTTCAAACATGTTTTTACGTGCTTCAAGCATGTTTCAGGCATGTGTTTGACCGTCTGGAAACTATTCGACTACATGCCTCCTCTCCATGGATCGCCTTCCACAAGCCCTGGCGACAAGGGGCCCACCCAGGAGGTCCTCGCCGCCGCCGCCGCGCCGCTGCCCAGGGGCCGCCGAGGGCCGGTGAGGGCGGCGGCAGGCGGCCGAGGGCGGCCGAGGGCCGCCGAAGGGCCGCCGAAGGGCCGCCGAGGGCCGCCGAGGGCCGGGAGCGGGCGCGTGCCCAGGCCCCCCTCGGGTCGTGAGAGACCCACGGCGGGAGGCTTTCCCCCCTTCGCCGGCCTCCAGGGGTCCTCACCGGCCTTCGGGACCGTCAAAAAAACGACTGGGGAGGAGAAGCGGGTCCCAGGGAATGGGTCTGGACTGCAGTCATCGGCCTGACCTAAGGAACGATAAAGAAGGAACGAAGCCCCCTTCTTCCAAGGAATAACGCAACGATGAACAAATAATGCATAACGCATGGGGAACGATAAATAACGCATGCAAGCCTAAGGAACGACCGAGCCCCTTTTGAAAAGCAGGCGTTCCTTATTCAAGCCGCTCACCGTATAGTCCGGGGGTCGCGTCGACGAAAAAGTCATGGCGTCAGAGGGTCTGCGGTCGGCGTCTGCAGCGGCACGCCCGCCGCCTGCTGAGGCCTGGGCCTGCGGCGCAGAGGGCGGCGGCCAGGAGGCCGCGTCCTCCGCGCCCGCCCGGAGCCGGGCCAGCGCGGAGGCGGCCAGGTCCCTCAGGGAGGGGTCCCTGTGCGCGGCGAGCCGGCCGAGCACGCAGATGGCGCCCTCGGCGGCGGGCGCTGCCAGGCGATGACGAGCAGAGGCGGCGGCGGCGGCGGCGGCGGCGGCGGCGGCTGCAACGGGCGGCGGGGGCCGCAGCGGCGGCGGCGGCCGCGGCGGCGGCGGCGGCGGCGGCGGCGGAGGCGGCAGCGGTGGCCGTGCCGTCGGCGGCGGCGGCGGCGGCGGCGGCGGCGGAGACGCCTCGTCTCCCGCGGCCGCCCGGGCCAGCGCGAGGTCCACCGCCGCGCGGCGCACGGCCTCGCCCGCGTACTGCAGGCGCCTGGCGAGGGCCGCGGCCTGGGCATGTGAAGGGCTCTCGAGGGCGGAAGGGCAGACGGCCCGCGGAGGCTGATCGCGCAGCAGCGGTTCGGAGGGGCAGGAGGGCGGGCTGCTTCGAGCTGGACTCGGACGAGGGACGCGCCCCCACGCCGATCGGCGGAGATTGACCCGGAGCGAACTGGACGGAGCGCAGAAGTCGAGGCAAAGGCTTACTGTCCAGAAAGGGAGGGGAGGGGAGCTCCAGGCACAGAGAGAGGAGCGAAACAGATAGTTTGAAAATGACGGGGAGAGGGATGGGGAGGCAGGCGGAGGAGGAGCAGCAGCTGGAGAACCAGGAGGAGCAGGAGAGGTGGGAGGGGGGAGCGGGCGTCTTCCATGATCCTCCTCCTCGACATAAGACGTACCCGTGGCATCATCTCCTGCTGCTCCTGCCGCTGCTGCAGTGCGCATGGGACGGCACATCTCCAGAAAACCGCGTGGTGCGTATGACAGACATCCCCAGCACTGCTTTGCCCTGAGCCTGGACAGGACTTGGAACTCTCTAGCTCTTGCGATCGCTTGCACCCTGGCAGGAGTCTCGTTTGGGCAGGGCTGCTTCGGAGGAAGGGGGAGGAGTCAGCACACATCCCTGATGCTGCTCTGCTGCAGAATACAGACACACACACACACACGTCTCAGGCCCGACCCCCGTGAAGGCTGTGCGTGCCAGCATTCCCTCGCACTCTCTTTGCCGCGGGCGCCGACTGCAAGGGTGAGCCAGTCGGCGAGGGCAGCCGCGTGGCCACAGGTGCGCGCGAGTGTGCGGGAAGCGAGGCGAGCGGCTAGCGCAGCGCGGAACCAGAGAAACCGGCATCCACACGCCGCCTCGGGCCTCCGCCCAGGCCGCGCCTGGACCTCGGACCAGAATGGCCAGGAAGGCCTCTGCCCCGCGCCGCATACTTGCCGCCGCCCTCCACATGCCCTCATCATCATCCTCCTCATCATCAGCAGCGACATCATCATCATCATCATCATCATCATCATCATCATCATCATCATCATCATCATCAGCATCATCATCATCAGCATCATCGTCATCATCATCACCATCATCAGCAGCATCACCATCATCTTCATCGTCATCATCACCACCATCCTCATCGGCATCGTCATCATCACCATCGTCATCATCATCAACAACATCATACTTATCCTAATCCGCATCATCACCATCCTCATCATCATCCTGATTACCGTCGTCAACATCATCGTCATCAACGTCGTCATTATCAGCATCACCATCATCATCAACACCACCACCACCATCTATCACCACCACCACCAACAGCGTCATCAGCATCAACAGCATCAGCACCGTCACCATCACCATCATGACAAGCGTCATCACCATCACCATCAGCATCGCCGACATCATCATCAGCATCAGCATCATAATCAGCATCATGATCATCATCATCATGATCAGCATAATCATAAGCATCTGCAGCATCACCATCATGACCAGCAGCATCAACATCACCACGAGCATCATCATGATAAACATCGCCATATTCACAATCATCTTCACTCACTATCAACCATCAATCATCCGCATCATCCTCATCTTCATGATCATTGTTAACATCACCATCACCATCGCCATCTGCATCATCATCACCATCACCATCGCCATCATCATCATCATCATCACAACCGTCATCATCGCCACCATTATCATCATTAGCAGCGGCAGCAAGAGCAGCAGCAGCATCATCATCAGCATCACAATCATCATCATCATCATCATCAGCATCATCATCATCATCGTCGTCGTGTTGATCATAATCATCATCATCATCATCATCATCATCATCAGCATCATCATCATCATCATCACCAGCATCAGCATCAGCATCATCATCGTGATTCGGTTCATCCTCTATCACCGTTCCTCCTCATCCTCGTCGACATCGCCCACTGCAACAGCACAACCGATAACCTGCCGAACCTACAACGAAACCGAAACCGACCGACACTGACAGGCCACGAGACGCTTAGACGGGCGCGGAGACGTGGTAATGACACAACGACCGAACCGAACCGAACCGACCGAGCGCAAACAACCTGCGACGCAGCCGAACCGACCGAGGTTCGGTCACCGTTGCCCCTCCTCTTCCTCCTCCTTCTCCTCTTTCTCCCGTCCTCCTCCTCCTCCTCCTCATCATCATCATCATCCCCATGAGCATGATTCGGTTTCCCCCTCCTCCTCCTCCTTCTCCTCCCCCTCGGTGCCATCATCACCATCACCATCATCATCATCATCATCATCATCATCATCATCATCACCATCATCATCATCACCATCATCATCATCATCACCATCATCATCATCAGCAGCAGCAGCATCATCATCATCATCACCATCATCATCATCATCGTCATAAGCGTCATCATCATCATCATCATCATCACCATCACCATCACCATCATGAGCATAATCATCATCATCAGCATCAGCATTCATCATGATCATCCGGGTCAGCATCACAATCATCAGCACCGCCACCACCAACATCAGCAGCAGCATCATCAGCATCATCATCGTCATCATCAGCATCCCCATTATTATTGTCGATGCAATCGTCATCGCCACAACCATCGTCACCTGCATAAACATCATCTTCGTCTTGATCTGTATCAACATCATAATCCTCATCATGACAAGCATCAGCAGCAGCAGCATCAGCATGGCCACCGATATCATCATTAGCAGCATCATCAGCAGCATCATCACCACATCATCATCATCAGCAGCAGCAGCATCGTCATCATCAGCATCATCGTCATCATCATGGTCGCCATCATCAGCATCATCGTAATCATCGCCATCATCGTCCTAATCCAACTCATCATTGTTCTTGGCCTCATTCGCGTCCTCCCCATCCTCTTCCTCCACCTAATCATGGTTGTCGTTATGCTCCCCTTGTTCCCCCCTGTCCTCTTCGACGTTCTCCTCCAAGCACCTCAGTCCTCCACCAACAACCAACATCCTCCCTGATTGTACGCAGACCCCCCCTACTCCACCACTGAGCCTCGCTCCTCCTCCTCCTCCTCCTCCTCCTCCTCCTCCTCCTCCTCCCCCTCCCCCTCCTCCTCCTCCTCCTCATCATCCTCATCCTCCTCCTCCTCCTCCTCCTCCTCCACCTCCTCCCCCCTCCCACGCCTCCTCCCTCAAGAGTTCATCCCTGGACCTGTACCGCGGTGCGCGCTGGCCAGATAGTCAGATAGCCAAGGGGACCCCAACCATGGCGACGAGAAGTCTCAACGAGAAGTCTCAACTTCGAGCCTCCAAATACAACATCGATCCGCAAGCCCTTCTGATTTCCCAAGACTCCGACGCCTTGATGGTTTCAACGCGGGGTCCCCGGATCCCTCGACAACTTCCCCAGTACCAATTTCTCGTCGTGGACCGTTCTTGGGCGGCTCCAGAACCCAAAACCGGTCTCCGCACGCCGAAAGCTACGAAAAAACTCCGCCCCGACTTGCTCAAGACGTGGGAGGTCTGGTCTGGGCACGACAGGTTCGTGCCGTGACGCCTCTGGCGTTGGTCACTGACACCGCGTGGATGGCTCAACCATCAACGATCGCGGCTCTCCGATGGTGCAGGTCGTTTCATCTTGGCCGATTCCTGTCCACCGGCGGGCGCCAAACCTTGAACGCCTGCGCTGGAGCCGCCGCGTCGGTACGACACTGAGCAACGGTTGACCGATCCCTACCCCCACTGGCGTGGCCCGGGCCCCACTGGCCGATGTACGCCCCTCGATGGGGGCATCAGCTGCTCCCTTCGGGCTTCGAGGGGCGTCTCCCCAACTGGGGTGGTGGGATGGCGGGGGGTCGGGATGGAGATGGAGAGGAGAATTTAAATCGGTTAAGCGATACTGAGACTACCCTTCCCCCATCGCAAGGGTTGTGGATGTCATGACAATGGACACTCGAACCGTTCTATAATTGAATTTCAGATGTCGTTCACATGTCTCCCACATGTTAAAAAACATGTTCGAACAATCATCAAGACATGACTCAGCCCTTTAAAGACATGCTTGAGACATGTTTTGGAATCTTGGAAGTATGTGGCAACACGCCTTCTCTCCATTGATCGTCTTCCGCAACCCAAGGGGGGCTGTTGACGCGACCCCCGAAGGTCCGGACCCATTCCCCGGGACCCGTTTCTCCTCCTGAGCCCTTCCTGGACGGTCCCGAGGCCCGGTGAGGACCCCCTGAGGCCGAGAGTAGCGAAAAACCTCCCGTCGCGGCAACACATCTGGAAACTATGTGGCAACATGCCTCCTCTCCATTGATCGTCTTCCGCAACTAGAGGCATCCTAGATGGAGTCGGAGTAGATGGGGTCCGAGGATCCCGCCGCATCGCCGATACATCGACGATGTATCGGCGATGCATCAGCGATGCATTGGCGATGCACCGGCGATGCATCGGCGACGACGGCGATGCATCGGCGCCGTTGGCGTGAACCAAATCGGGCCCCACATCGAGCCGCATCGCCGATGCATCGTCGATGCGGCGCGATCCTCCGACCCCGTCTACTCCGACCCCATCTAGGAGGCCTAGACTAATGTCGGGCGTGTCCCCCTACAGGGGGATTTTCGACGAAAAATAAAAGATACCCCCAAAATACCCCAAAAAGGTTAAACAAATACTATAAAAAAGAAGTTCCCAGACTATTTTTGGACCATGTTTGGGGTACTCTTTTTTTTCGTCGAAAAACCCCCCTGTAGGGGGACAGGCCCGACTTAAGCCTAGACCAACGCAGAGGGGGGCCGCCGCCAGCGCAGTCGGGCCCGCTGGGGCCGCCGCCGCCGCGTCGCCGCCCGCGGCAAGGGCCTCGGCGGGCCGGCGGGGAGCGCTGTGAGAAAAATCCTCCTCCTCCTCCTCCTCCTCCTCCTCCTCCCCTCCCCTCCTCCTCCTCCTCCTCCTCCTCCTCCTCCTCCTCCTCCTCCTCCTCCTCCCCCTCCTCCTCCTTCTCCTCCTCCTCCTCCTCCTCCTCCTCATCCTCGAGAACCCCGCCCCTGCTGCTCCCCCTCCCTCTCCGGCGCCACGGAGCCACCGCTCTGTTCCCACAGAGGCCTCGCGCGGCAGCTTGAGCCCCGAGGTACGTCGGAGCCACGTCGGACTTACGTCGGATTCACGTCGGGCTACGGTGGATGTACGTCGGATGTTCCGTCGGACTGACTCCGGAGCATCGCCGCGCGAGCGTCGACTCATAGCCTGCAGAGCTGACGCGTGGACCAGGTAGTACTGCTATTACGCGCCGCGCGAGGCCTCCAGGATTTTCCTCATAAGGAGCGCGCTCCGCGACGTCGCCGCTGCGGCTTCGAGAAGTCAGATCGCAACCTGGCGGCTTCGGAAAGCGCTAAGCTTAGGTCGGGCATGTCCCCCTACAGGCGGGTTTTGGACGAGAAATGAACAATTGTCAAAAGAGGCTCGACAATACTCAAATTCATCAGGAAAGCCATCCCCAGACTATTTTTTGGACTATCCTTGCAGATTACTCCTGTAGAGGGACGTGCCCGACTTAACGGTAAGCTCCGCTCCCTGGGTGCTCTGGGGGTACGGGCCCCACACAGGGGCCATGAACCCCGCCACCGACATGCCCTCGGGGTCGACCAATCATTTGTACATAAAAAACAGTTCCAGATATCATTATATATTATATGGCGAGATCATAAATTGTTGACGAATAGTGAGTGTTGAATATTAGTTTTCAAGCTCCGTTAGCCAGGAGGCCGAATACATTCATCATGCCGAACATCGTCGGCGAGCGAGGGGGAGAAATGAGAAGGAGAAGGCCTTCTCAGAAGGCGACCGGACTGCGCAGAAGCCCTCACGCCTTCTGAGAAGTTCTTTATGTCTTCGGGGATCTGGTTGACCCAAAAGGGGGTCCAGCTGAGAGAGGGTGGTGCAATTGGATTGGGGCTAACGTATTGCAAATATACTGCGCCAGGGAATTGGATTGCATTGTATTGCAAGTATTGCACGCGAAAGCCCGGCAACACACTTGCGCACCGGAATGTATTGCACGCCCCAAATATACTGCAACCCCACAACACTGTTGCACCAAATCTATTGCACCAACCCCTTGTCGCTGGACCCCCTGATGGGTCAACCAAAGGGGACGGCTCAGAACACTGCTCCGAAGGCCCGGGGGGCTTCTGCACCTTCTGAGAAGGCCTTCTCCTTCTCTCTTTTCCCCCCTCGCTTGCCGCCGAAAAAGGGTGTCGCTCGATCCCAGACCTGGCGAGGGGGCCCGGCGGGACCATCAGAAATCGATCCGAGAGGAAGAAGCTGGCAGGGATAGGCTCTGGAGGGGTCGGAACACGGGCCTTCCACGGATGACTGTCCGCCGTAGCCGCCGGAGAAGAGTGCAGGAAATACGACGAGAAGGCAGGAGGGTGAGGAGGATGGAGGAGGACGAAGGAGACGGGGACCTCGAGGAGAGAGGAACGGACGACCGCCAGGAAGGGGAGGCAGAACCAGAGCAAGTCCCAGATGCGTCCACGAATCTGCGATACACCCTCCCGTCCCCAAAAGTCCGCTTCTCAGAAGTCCCTGCAGGCCTTCCTGCCCAATGCAAGGAGGAGGGGGAGGAGGAGGAGGAGGAGGAGGAGGAGGAGGAGGAGTTACGGGGTTACGGGTATGGCGACTATGTCGGTTACGAGTGGAAGCAGGTTAATCCCGCTGCTTCCCGGCTCTTCTGGCCTGCTCCTTCTTGCTGTAAACCTTAGGCCACAGCCCCTGGAGAATACGTTTACGGTAATCGATTCGATTACCGTCGAGGCGTGTGCTGCATTCCTTGCCAAGCTGTGTCAGCTGTTCAGCCGCATAACTCCCGCAAACGAAACAGAACCACAACCTCAGCCCCGTGTGATACCGAAGAGTGTGAGACCCATGAGCGCACCCCCCCCCATAATGTGCACCCTTTGCCCAGGAGGGGGTCTACAAATGACGCCGTCCACACTAATTAGATCGAAGCACGGTGAGCTCAGCCACTCGTTCTTACATGCGAGTGCGGTCGACCCCTTACAACGCGTGCAACAACGGCCATTCTCACCTAGGTGGTGCGACGAGGCGAACATTGCACAAACACTTGCTGCAGGGGGTTGCACAACCGCAGAAGATTTACGATGCCTACGCCGAGTGCCGAAACCCTCATCCTGTGACAAGAGCTCCTCTGCTTGTATGGCCTCTAGTGTGCCCTGTAAAATACGCATGCGTACAGCAAAGGCCATATATTCAGCACTATGTACCCGTGCGCGTGTGCCTTCAGACAAGCGTGCCACCGCAGCTCCAGCTGCTGCAAACTCATCTGCTACTGCGTTGCCTACGATAATGTACCTAGGCGAATGCTCTCCCATCATGTGCTCGGCTCCGAGGTGAGAATTAATGAAGAGAACCGTGCAGTGCAAATCTGGCTTACGAGACAACTCCTGCCCTATGCGCCACCACAGGTCGGCGTCGGGGCCTGCGGGGGAAAGCCAACGGGATTCGTACCAGCCTGAGCACACTGCAGCGTTATCTGTGGTGTATATGATATGTCCCGCACTCTCGCGAACACACACCCACAGACTGTACAATTCACCTCGAGCGACTGTCTGCCTACATCCTGGGAGAGCAGCCCACGTGCCAACATCTACGTGCATGTCATCGTCTAACGAGCGAAAGAGGGCGATGCCTATCCCGACGCGACGGTGGAGGGGGTGGTGCGTTTCCTTGCCTCCACTGGCGTCCCCGAACAAGTATAAGGGGTGTGAAACTGTTCCTCTGCCGAAAACGACAAACTCCGATCCAGCCGAGACGTGCCAAACCTCACGATCGGGCGGACTCTCGACAGCTACCCAAGATGACGGCAAAAGACCCCTGGTCCAGAAACACTCCTCAGCGTCGGCCTGGGCGTAGGCCTTGCTGACGTACGATTCGCTCAACTTATAAACTGGGCTGTCCGAACGAGATTCGCAACCCCAGATCCTGTGAAAACTTGTCTCGGGCGCCGCTCGGCACCGTGGACACTCCTGCGAAATCTGCTGCTTGCAACGCGTTTGCCGCCTGGTCCTGGGCCAAGAAGCTCCCGTTGCCACAGCAAGCATGAGGCCTGCCAAGCGTGGCCCGCCAGGGCCTTGCTCTAGTTGCTGAAGCAACTGCCTGTAAGAATGGTTACATGTTCCACCTTCCATGCCACTGCCGCCGAAGTGTTTGGCAGCGTCAGCCCAAAGATTGGTCTGAACAGAAACTTGAAATTCTTGAAAGAAACTCTCAGGGATGTCGATCGCTGCGCATCCCGTTAGACCTTGCTCATTGAAATTCCAACTGCACGTGCCATCAGGGATATCCCACGAGCTGGCCGTCGTAGGAGTCCACCCTGCATTCAGAAGGTAGGTGATGACTGTTGCCTGAGGTCCTCGAATCCTCCGACATCGCTGCGTAGGCGGGAGGGCCGCCAACTCCTGAACGATGTCCGTCCAGGTGCGGTTCACGCCAGCTCGGAGATGTGCCTCGGACACCCACGTGGTCAGCCACATCCTCAGCGTGTCCAGCGGGAGCCTGTAGGCGGGGTCCCTCAGCGGTGTCTTGAGGTCGAGGAGCGTGGTGACGCACCTGCCCGTCAACCTCGGAGCTGATGCGTTGGCAAGCTGTCTCCTCACCGACGCCATCTGACCCCCGAATACTCCGTGGAGGTGATGGGCGTAGAGTCCCGCAGGGGCCGCTCCTTGCTGCTCGAGCCGACGAGTGACGTGATATCGGCGAAGTGTGCGAGCATACCGAGTGATCTTGACCGACATCGCATAATGCTTGACGGCACGTGACCTTCGCGTTGCCCGACCTTGCCTGCGACCTCCACTCAAATCGGCACCGAGGTAGGGGGCTTGGCTGGCATACCTGAGCTTGTACCCGCGAGCTGCAATCCTGCGAGTGATGATGCGGGCATCATCGATGTGGCTGCAGATCACGACGCTCTTGGGAGATATCTTCAGCCCTGCCGGCTCCATGTTCTGGCAAGTGTCGGAGAGGCATCTGATCATCTGCCGACGCATCTCAAGTCTAGAGCCCCGAGCAACCTGCGACAAATCATCCACCCACAGCCGATGTGACATGTTCACGTGGGCGGTGGTGATCCTGGACATGCTGAAATGTGTAGCGCGTTTGCCGAACCTCGTTCCTGCTCTCAGCCCCTGCACGATGGAGCGTGTCGGGCAGAAAGGAGGTCCGTATGCACCTGACTGTCGAACACACCTCACAGCCATGCATTGCTGAAGCTCAAGTCCAAGAGTCTCTGCGGGAAAATCCAAACGAAGAGCTGCTGCTGCGATACGATGCCAACCCACACTGTCGTAAAATTGAGCTATATCACATAATCCATGTTCGTGCGCGACTCCAAGCCGCCCTGCCAGTGCTTCGTCGACAGCCCGGAGAAAAACTTCCCGAACAGCTGGGTTGCCGCGCACTGCGGCATCCCAGTGCGACTCGCACTCGTCCGTCCATGTTCTCACAAAACCTTCACGCGATTGTGACCACATCCTTGCGAAATGCGAAAGGAGTCCTATAACTCGAGCTCCATTGCTCTTCTTTGGTAATAATGTACCAATGGTGATCATAATCTGATGTGGCCACGATTGATGCTGTTCACATAATGTGAGCAGTGCAGCCAATTCGGCCAGCGCAATGTCTGGCAGGCGGTCCACATCCGACGAGCACAACCGATCAACACCCATCGCCGAGGAGGGCCTCATACGTCGAAGCGCTGCACGAAGGTCGGCGACATCGATGGGCGGCAGTGCCTCCTCCTGGACGCGGCGCCTGATGACTCCAAAGAGGTCAAGCAACTGCTCATGATCCTCCCCCTGCGGGGGCCACAACTCACGCCACTGCTGGGTTTTATAATCGAGCACATCTCTTGGATGGATGAGCGTTCGATTACCAACTTCGACTGAATCGGGAGCTAGAGGCGAGGACATTATAGCCTTGTGTAGGGCGCTGGCGGCTGGTGCCGACTCTGCCCAGTCACGAAATGAAGAAATAGAACGATGTATTGCTCGCTGCTGACTTCGCTTGGCAAGTCTGTTGGCGAAATCGCAGCCACTCGATAGGTCTGCCTCGGAGGGATCGCCTGATACCACCACTTGCAGAAACAGCTTCCACTGTGACCAGGTGTGGGGATCCCGTCTCCTAAGTACTCGATGCGCCTCCTCAGGGATGGCCCTTTGGAGCGCGCCGATAGCCTGGGTGAGGATGGCCTGCTGCTTGCAACCGTTGTCCCGACGACGATGCTGAAGCAGGGCCGAAAGTGCGGTAGCTAGCCTTGTCCACCAGCCACAGACCTTATCGTGCAGCGGTTCCAGCCTCTGGGCCGTTGACTGCTGCACCGTGCCGATACGAAAACTCGCCGCCTGCCCTCGCGACAAGGATGGAGTGGCCTGCTGGTGGTGGGCGTGGACTGCCTCTTCCACCGTGCGGACCCAGCTACAATAAAGTGCACTGGTGTGTGGGGCTGCCGCGTCCTGGGACGCGAGCCGAAAGGCTACGGAGTCGGCAGCAGCATCAGCAGGCAAGCAGGCGGCGCTCGGGACGAACCCGACGTTTTTCCTCGCTTGCGCCCA